TTTCATTACTGGGTACCAAGAAAGTGATTTAGTAAAGGAACGTTTAAGGACTGAGAAAAAAAAATGTCTGGAAGATGAGGGATCACTTTAGATTGAGAATGTGGCAGAAAAATTCCTCTAGGGAGGCAGGTGAGATTAAAAAGGCCAGGAGGGAGAAGCAATTGGAACTTGGGTGCCTGCGAGAAAGTGCAAGATCTTCCCAGAGGAGAGCAGTGTGGTGGAAAACTCACATACCGTTAACGATCAAGAACAACTTTTATTTATTTAGTTCAGTAATGCTAAGAAGAGTCACATAAATTAAGTCATCACCACCATCCCTCTCCAGAATGATTTTATCTTTCCAAACAAAAACCTTGGAGTTTTGACTGTATCTCTGTGTCTGTTTGCTTTCCTAGGATGTGCAAGGCCCTGAGTTCAATTCCTAGCAGTGCAAATAAATAAATAAATAAATAAATAAATAAATAAATAAATAAATAAAACCAAAGAAAACCTGCAAGCATATCTGTGAACCAGTAACTCCTCATTTCTCCCGCTTCTGACTCCTGGTCACCCTCATTCTACTCTCTGCTTCTTATTTTGATTGTCTGGGTGCCTTGTAGAAGAGACATCACACAGTATGTCTTACTGTGTGACTAGCATCCTTCACTGAACACTGTCTCAAAATCTACTCTTGTCGGACGAGTCAAATTACATTCCCTTCTCCTATCTAATGCTATTCCATTGTGTGCATGTACCACATTTTGTTTAGCCATCTCTCAATGGACATGTGAATTGTCTCTCTTAGCTGTTCTAAGCCATATGGCTGTGCACATATATTTAACTCTTTGAGAGATTTCCAAGGTTTTTCCATAGCAGCGGCACCGTTTTACTTTCCCACTGAGAATACACAAGGGTTCCTTCTAGATTATCCGTGGAGACAAGTGGCTACATGCCTTCAATCTAAATCAGCTTCACTGCAGCCCAGACTGCACCTGCGACAGTGACAAAATGTTCAGTTATGACAACAGATTGGTACCAAACTAGGGTCTTGAAACCTGGGAACCTGGCGAGGCAAGGACAAAACGGTACTGGAAGCAGTTTAAGGACCAAAGGATGCATGTGGTGTAAATCAAGACCTGGAGGCCAGGACATTGACTACAGCCAGCTATTTAGGTTAGAGATCTGGTTCTAGGTGAAAATCCTGGGTTCTAGGTAAGAAACCTGGGTTCCTAGTAGGAACACTGGAAAGGTGGAGATGAATCCAGAGAGAGTGAGTGGGATTCTTGAATAAAGGAGGTGTTCGCTGGTGAGAGGTTTGAGGAGTTCTGAGGACTCAGCCAGCCACTCAACCTTGGTCATCTTAAGTGCACTTATGTGGAGTGACATCAGGAAGTGGTACATCCCTTATCTTTTGTCATCTTGATCTCCATGGTGACCAAAGCACATAAAGATGGGAAAGAACCAGTTAGCTAGGTGGTCCTTGGCCTAGTAAGGAACAGGCTTTGCAGCAGGGATGGGAGTGTGGCTGGATGGTAGAATCCTACTTATTCTGCATCAGTGAGTCATGGGTTTCATTCCCATATTGGGGGAAAGGGGCAAAGGGAGGGGAGGGAGCACGCAGACAGCAACTCTGGAGCTGTTTCCTTCCTCCACTGGCTGCACCTTTTTAGCTATTCGTTACAGAGCTGGATCCTGAGCAAGGAAAAAATTGTGTTAGTCTGTTTGAACAGAGAGCTGAAACACCAAACCCAAAGTAAGGAATGGCCTGCAGGCCCCAGAGGTGTGTCTAATCAGGATCCAAGCTGGAGCCATAAAGGTCTTGTTTTTATACTTATAGTCCAGCCCACAGTTACTACATCTTTTATCTGGAACGATTGACACCAGACATGTTTCAGATTATAAAGAATTTTAGATCTTGGAATATTTGCAGACATTTTACCAATGAGATCAGAAAATATTAAACCTAAAATGGTTTAAAATGCAAAACTTAGGAGCATTGTTTAGACTTGAGTTTCATGTTTTTTTGAGTTTTCCAATTAGGAATGCCCAGCCTGTGTAAGAAAGGTGTTTGTATGGCTTTTTCCTGTGTTGGCTACGTGTCATGCTAAAAACACCCCCACCTCTGATTGTTACTGTCTGATCCTTTGTGCTTTGATTACTGAAGGTTCCACAGAGCACAGTGCTCCATTAGGTGTTGTCCTCTGAGCTGACAGGGTAGAGGGCAGTGCCTTCGCATGCGGTTGTGCAAAGGTGTGTGCTTGGTGACAGTGGCTGGGTAGCAAGTGTGAACCCAGTGTGGTGGAGGGATGATTTTAAATAAGTCATGTTTAAAATAGATGTAGTTAAGGGGTGTTGAAATAAGAGCGGCGGGGCTGTGTCCCCAGCACCTGGCAGCCCGCACGGCTAGCTTTACCCGAAATAATTAGATGGAAACTGTATTCTTTTAGGCACTGCTTGGCCCATTTCTATCTAGCCTCTTCTCGGCTAACTCTCGCACCTGGACTAGCCCATTTCTAATATCCGTGTAGCTCACGAGCTGGCTTACCAGGAATGATCTTAACCTGCGTCTACCTGGAGTGGGGGATTCATGGCGACTCACTGACTCAGCTTCTTTCTCCCAGCCTTCTGTTCTGTTTACTCCTCCCACCTATGTTTTAACCTATTAGGGCCAAGCAGTTTCTTTATTGCTTAACCAATGAAACCAACAGATTGATATATGACACTCCCACATCAAAGGGGTCTAAAATCAGGTTTATAACGATGATGATAAGATAGATGGAGATTTAAGCCTGGGCAGCCAAACCTTACTTTTTTATATGATTTTTGGTGATCAAACTCAGTTCCTCTTGCAAACAGTATTCTAGATTCGGGGACCGCTACTCACCTGCGTGCTTTTATCTGCAAGTTAAACTGAACACAGCCTTTCCCAGGTCTATGGCTGGATGGGGAATCTATACGACTGACACCAAGTAACTAAAGCATTCGTCAAGGCTCAGCCACCAACGTCAAGGATATAGCTGTGACAACTGGACTCCCGTGTGACTCAACCAGGCCTCATTTGGACTGGATGAAGAGGTTGTAGACTAAGCAACTGCCTGTCTCCTCACTTGGGACTAAGTGCCCAAAAGAATTAACAGACTTTGAGGTACTATTTGATATTTTCAAAGGGAGTCCCTAGAGCCCCCAAAGAAATAAACCTCCTCTCTTTGACTGGTTGCAGAAGGATACTGAGTTCTTCCCGAACAGGACCTCAGCCATTCTCCGTGCATCCCTGACATTGGGGGTAGCAGAGCAGGATGTCCCATTTGTGATACCCCAGGAAGCAGCAAGGGCTTCAGAAGAGAACCAATTCCTTCAGTCACCCTTGCTCTGTGCCCATTGGATGACTGCGGGAAATGAGGCCAACTGAAAACTCACTGCGCATGACCCTTCTCTGCACCGCAGGGAGATCTAAACTTTGCATGAAATCAAAGAGGCTACAAGACCAGAGCTCTAGGATGAAAAAGTTCCTGAAAGTCGAAATACAAAGAACAGAACTTGCAGTGTGTAGAGGAGATGCGTGTTTCCCACAAAAGAAACAAAGCAGGAGAGTGGAAGAAGGGATGCCCTCAAGAGCAGTAACTCACCATCAGCCAGGATTTTCCCTCAGATCCTTTTTTGTACCTAAGCACAGATGAGGAGGGACATTTCCAGCTAACATGGGCTGAAGAATAAGATGGAGATGCGGAATGGGGAATATGGCAAAAATCAAAAATAAAAGCTTCTCTCTGAATTTGTTGAATGTTACTAACTTTTGTCTACCTTTAAGAAAAACACCCACCCTGCCGGTAATCCTAGGGAAGAAATTGGACCTAGGGAGTTGATTGGTCTTTCTATGTGGCAGTTCTATCAGGTGTAAGCATCCTCCTGAGAGATGAATGAGATGGTCAAGCTGCGTCTTCAACCTGACAGATGAGATGACACTTGGTGACTCAATACAGATGGAAGGCAGCGTGAGGTTTTTGTTTCTCTTCCTTCCTGACATGCCACATTCCACCAGCACTGACAGGAGAAGGGAGGGTAAAGATGAGGGCAGCATGCATGTGTGCTTTCCTATGCACCCATCCCTGTAAGAATCTACTGGCAAACACACCAGCTTTTGTGGTGGTGGTGCTGGAGGTTGAGCCCAGGGCCTGGTACATGCTAAGTGAGCACTCTATCTCTGAGCCACATCAACAATCCACTAAGTAATGAAGGCTGGCCTTGAACTCACTCTTTGGCCCAGGCAAGCCTTCAGCTTGTGATCTTCCTGCATCAGCCTCCGAATTACGCCACTAGGGTATTGTTTTTCCTGTGAGGTAAATGAGGGATGGGAAAATGAAATCGTTTTCCTCAGTACTAACTGCCATGGGGCCCGAAAGTTAACATAGGCTTCTGGTCTGAGTTTTTCAATCACACTGCTTGGAGGCAGGAGGTGGGAGACTAACCATGATGTGTGCCTGCCATCATACTGGATACTTCGAGCATCATCTTGATGCTTCTGGGAGTTTAGGGTGGGAGGTGCATGTGTTTATAGCCTATTTTCTTCCAAGATGCCCCACAAATTGCTATAGTTATTTCATCACAAATAGATATGATTTCAAAGAAGTAATTTTAATATACAGTTTTAAATTAAATAAATGTAATGTTCACATAATAATGCTATCATAAAATGTATACAACAGCAGTAAAGAGCACACCCTAATCTACATTATATTGGGTTTATTCTGCATTCCTAATCATCCTTCTTCAATGATTCTAAATATATAAATAGTTTTGTATCTAATATTACAAGCATTCCCTGTGGCTTTATGAGTGTTTCATAACTGATTTTGAGACAGATATGTTTCTTAAATATTAATTATAGTTCCAGTTTTCTAATCACGGAATGTGGAAATCTAGTATTAATTTTGAAGACATTTGTGGTAGATCTTGGTTATAGAACAATACTGAATAGCCAGAACTCACTTTCTGAGACCGTCTTTGCACATTTTGCTTTGCAGGGATATACCGAACAGAAAGGGATAAGGGCACTTTGTATGAGCTCACCTTCAAAGGGGACCACACCCATGAATTCCAGCGCCTTGTCCTGTTTCGGCCCTTTGGCCCCATCATGAAAGTGAAAAAGGAAAAGCTCAACATGGCCAACACACTTATCAACGTTATCGTGCCCCTGGCGAGGAGGGTGGACAAGTTCCGGCACTTCATGCAGAACTTCAGGTTTGTTCGTTTTGCAGGGGGTCCTGCTCATTCCCTGTCATTGTCTGCCTTTCCCCTGCCACGTGCAAAGGCTCCTTTTCTTCCCTTCCACTCAGTTTTCTTCATACAAAGTTTACGGTTCATAGTTGCCCTTCCCTAAAGCAATTAGAAAATCCCTGCTTAAGTACGTTTTCCTTAGAGGGAATGTCTAGGAAGGATGGTCAGTCAAGAGCCCTGCAAATGTCACCGTCATTCTGGCTGGGCAAACCAAGGCTGGGTGTGTGACCTTCAGTTCTGACTGGGTAAACCAACGCTGCACACGTTGCCTTCAGTTGTGACTTGAGCCTGGGCTCCCCAGACAAAAGTGAGATTCTCAGAAGCCAGCAAATGAGGTTCCGAATCATCAGGAACAGGCAGGAGCTGGCTGGTGGTGACGGAACTCACATCAGTGATGACTGAACAAGAGAGAGGCCCTGGTTCAGCAGAAGACTGCCTTCATTTGCTGCCCTGCATCTGGAGCAGATTGAATCACAATCTATTTCCTGTTCTAAGCTGCCAGCCCAAAGGGCCTGGATTTAAAACTGTGGCAGGAGGGCTGCAGGGACTCATCTTTATAGGCGCTCAGCAGACCTTTATCCCAGGGTGCACGGATGGAGTTGGTGTGTACGTGACAAGAAACCCTCTACTGGGCAATAGTGGGTCTCATCGTTTATGTGTGGAACCCACATATAAGCCGAGGTTAGCCAGCTACATGATTTACTTACCATGATTTCAAAAAACCAGCTTATTTTATCCAATTATAAATCTTGAAAGATTTAGCCTATTTTTAAATCTCTTTTCATTAAGTTCACAGTACTAAAAAGTCAGTGGAGATCAGTAGAAGAATGTGGTTAGTCACTCTCAAAATCCTAGCTCAAGAGCACAAGAGGGATTCTTTTGTAATCAAGTTGCTTGTATCAGGGTCAAATCATCTTTGAAGAGACCACTAAAGTCACCCGGTAATGGAAGAGGGAAGCTGCATCTGAGATCCAGGGACTGCAAGGGTAGTGCATACAAAGACAGATTCCCAGAGCAGGAGGGAACAGGGCAGAGACTGAGTGGGGTATCAGCTGGGTAGCCAAGAGCTTCTGAGCATGTGCAGGGCTCTGAAAATGTGGAATGTAAGATCAGGAGTACCTAGGGTATTTCATTCTCTGTAGGAACATGGTAAAAAGATTATTTTCAAATCACACCCAATGGAGATTCTGCAAAGCATAGTGCTAGAACAAATCACCAAGCATAGCTGGAAAAAGTAATTCCTTTTTCAGACCTAAATTTAAAGTCTGGCCAATTAAACCAAAGGAATATAGTGGGAGCCCCCAAACCATCTAGGCTGTCACCAAGACAATAGGCTGGCCACTTGTCACAAACTGATGGCAAGGCCCCGTTGCTGAAGACAACACCTACACAGCTCTCTGAACATGCAGAAGTTGAGCTGGTGTCTGCCTGGAGCCTTCATCCATACATGCTAGCATCTTTGGTACAGGACAGTACTCTGCACACTAGCAAATGAGAAACTTAAATATCAAACTATATAAACTCTTGGGTCTACAACAGTGTCCTACCTGCAAGACATGCTAGGACAATGGGGGCACAAAGTTTGTGGAGTCATCAGCTCATATCTTGTGTGACTGAAGGCCGCCTCTAAGAGATGAAATCCACACACTGCTTGGGTGACCAAGAATCTGAGACTAAATTGCACAGGGACATAGGGTAAAACCAAATACTACTTTTCAAATATATATGTATACCTTATATATTTATTAGATATAATTTATAATATATGTATATTTATAGGTATAAATATATATGTATACCTTATATATTTATTAGATATAATTTAAATATCAATAAATGACTTCTAATGACATCCTGCTATCCTCAGAGATCAGTGCCTTGTTCAACCATCATCAGAGATGCTTCCTTCTGCAACAGATGGGGACAAATACAGAGCTCAACAGCCGGACATTATGCAGAGAGCAAGAGATCATGAACACTCATCCCTAAAGGGAATATCAAATCCCTCCTCTCAGGGTTCAGGGAGCCCTGTGGAGAGGAGGCAGGAAGACTGTAAGAGTTATCAGAGAGCGTGGAAGACACTAAGAAACAGGGCCCTCTACATCAGCATATGGACACACAGAGACTGGGGCAGCATGTCCAGGGCCTGCAGGCATCTGCACTGGTTGGAGTCCTATAGATTAAAGGGGAGGTGGTCACATTCTTCCATCCCTATCCCAGAAGCAATCTCCAATTGAAAACCACTTGTACACTAAAATTTAGTTTTCCACAAAGGGACTCTCACTAGGGAAACAAACTACTCTTAAGGGTAGGCTGCGTGCCCAGCAGTGGATGCTAACAGAAAATGAACTCAACCAATAGCTTTGGTGGTTCCTTTTCTCACAATGTTGTGTCAGGGTTCTTCCATTTTTTTTTAAATTATCTTATTCTTAAAAATATTTTATTTTATTTTTATTATATCTATATTTTCTTTTCTCTTTTTACCCTATAGGTCTTTTGCATATATATTATGATATCCAGTTTAGTGTTTTTATGGGATTTCTGAGTATGTAATGATTGGGTCTTTATTTTTTGTGCCTTTTCTTAGGCTCTTTTCCCTATGTTTGTTTGTTTTGTCTAATTCTAATGGGTTAGCTTTGCTTTATCTGTTCTGTTCTGTTCTATGCTATTCTATAGAAGACTGTCTTCTAATGAGAGACAGAAAGGGGGTTGATCTGGTTAGGAGCGGGGAGTAATAGAGGGAGATGTTAATGGAAACAGTAGAGGAGCAGAGGGAGGGGAAATATAATCGGAATGTTTACATGAGAAAGAATGATTTTTTCAATAAAATGGGGGAAAACTCTGGCCAATTAAATGTTTAGACGCAATTATTTTGACCAATTACTGGGAGACCATGAATGGACTATTTATTAATGTTGGCTGTTGCTATGATGTTCTTTCCAACTTAAGCCCAGAGCATGTCAACTCTGGCTGACACTGAAGACTGTACTGTGGGTGATTTTCTACCCTTTGCCCATTGTGTACGTTACCTCGAAACTACCCAATATTTTATAGTTTGTTTTAAAATCCAGGGCCAGGGAAAAGGCTTAGATAAAAAAAAATCTTTCGGCACAAGCTTGATGGCCTAAGTTCACTCCTGGAGTCCTCATGATGGTGCAGGCCGAGGACAAAGTCCACGGAGACGTCCTCTGCCCCATACACTCTGTCTACTGCAAGTCCACGGAGACGTCCGCTGCCCCATCCACTCTGTCTACTGCAAGTCCACGGAGACGTCCTCTGCCCCATCCACTCTGTCTACTGCAAGTCCACGGAGACGTCCTCTGCCCCATAAACTCTGTCTACTGCAAGTCCACGGAGACGTCCTCTGCCCCATACACTCTGTCTACTGCAAGTCCACGGAGACGTCCTCTGCCCCATACACTCTGTCTACTGCAAGTCCACGGAGACGTCCTCTGCCCCATCCACTCTGTCTACTGCAAGTCCACGGAGACGTCCTCTGCCCCATACACTCTGTCTACTGCAAGTCCACGGAGACGTCCTCTGCCCCATCCACACTGTCTACTGCAAGTCCACGGAGACGTCCTCTGCCCCATCCACTCTGTCTACTGCAAGTCCACGGAGACGTCCTCTGCCCCATACACTCTGTCTACTGCAAGTCCACGGAGACGTCCTCTGCCCCATACACTCTGTCTACTGCAAGTCCACGGAGACGTCCTCTGCCCCATACACTCTGTCTACTGCAAGTCCACGGAGACGTCCTCTGCCCCATACACTCTGTCTACTGCAAGTCCACGGAGACGTCCTCTGCCCCATACACTCTGTCTACTGCAAGTCCACGGAGACGTCCTCTGCCCCATACACTCTGTCTACTGCAAGTCCACGGAGACGTCCTCTGCCCCATACACTCTGTCTACTGCAAGTCCACGGAGACGTCCTCTGCCCCATACACTCTGTCTACTGCAAGTCCACGGAGACGTCCTCTGCCCCATACACTCTGTCTATGGCAAGTCCACGGAGACGTCCTCTGCCCCATACACTCTGTCTACTGCAAGTCCACGGAGACGTCCTCTGCCCCATCCACTCTGTCTACTGCAAGTCCACGGAGACGTCCTCTGCCCCATCCACATTGTCTACTGCAAGTCCACGGAGACGTCCTCTGCCCCATACACTCTGTCTACGGCAAGTCCACGGAGACGTCCTCTGCCCCATACACTCTGTCTACTGCAAGTCCACGGAGACGTCCTATGCCCCATACACTCTGTCTACTGCAAGTCCACGGAGACGTCCTCTGCCCCATATACTCTGTCTACGGCAAGTCCACAGAGACGTCCTCTGCCCCATACACTCTGTCTACTGCAAGTCCACGGAGACGTCCTCTGCCCCATACACTCTGTCTACTGCAAGTCCACGGAGACGTCCTCTGCCCCATATACTCTGTCTACGGCAAGTCCACAGAGACGTCCTCTGCCCCATACACTCTGTCTACTGCAAGTCCACGGAGACGTCCTCTGCCCCATACACTCTGTCTACTGCAAGTCCACAGAGACGTCCTCTGCACCATACACTCTGTCTACTGCAAGTCCACGGAGACGTCCTCTGCCCCATACACTCTGTCTACTGCAAGTCCACGGAGACGTCCTCTGCCCCATATACTCTGTCTACTGCAAGTCCACGGAGACGTCCTCTGCCCCATATACTCTCTCTATGGCAAGTTCACAGAGACGTCCTCTGCCCCATATATTCTGTCTATGGCAAGCACAACCACATATATTATGTCTAAGCACATAATAGCATGGAATAACATTCATCATCTTGGAGTTTCTAATTTATGATTGATAGTTAGCTTATAGAAGCGATTACTTGCTTAGAACAAGATGTTTGAGCAATGTAGAACAAAACAAGGATTTTTTTTGATGGAATGATAGTTCACTCACTATGAGTAGTTTCATACTGCATGACATATC